GCGACCCTGACCCGTAAACGCATCTCAGTATTTATACCCCACGAGGCGTTCAGCGTCCGCGAAATGAACGCGGTTTTATTCGTCTATACGAATTATTGCATAGATTTCGGAAAGATGTTATTCAATGTTCTGTGTGGCATATAGCTAAAAAAGTAGTTGTTTTTCTTTCGATATCTACCATTTTCGTTCCTTTTATGAACTATTGTACTAATGACTTTCAGTTTCTTTCTCTTTGTGGTCATAAATTGTTTCCCTCTACTACTACTGCTGGCCAGAAATAAAATTTACACTTCTATTGTTGATAATAAAAACAGTTGACATCACCTATTCTCCCTGAAATGCTCTCAGAGGCAACTTTAACTATTCACTAAAAAGTTAAGGCCTTATGTCAAATTACATACCTACATTAGAGAAACATGTGCTATAGTAGTGGAAAAACTGTCTGACATTATCACATGATCTTCAAAGTATCAACTTTGAACAGGAATTTAATGAAAAATTCTCATAAATGAATCACGTTCAATTATTGATGTTACGAACTACCCTGATGTAGATGTAGATCTAGTATATAGTAGTATATTAATCATTTTTCAGAATGTTTTATTGCACTCATAGACGTTCAATCTCTTTCATCTATTCATATGAATGCTCTACGAATTTCTGGTATCTTCTCCAGTACTGACGATATTCTTCACTTTTGGTCGATCATCGAACAGAGACGGAAGAATGAGTCCCCTCTTGAGGCGAGAGATAAAAAGTGACTTATACAACAGAATTTATGAATGATTATCAGCCAAATTACGTTGAATCTCTCGTATATGTAATTTGTCGAACATTTTCAATGAGAAAGTTTGTTTATCGATTGCAGGTGTACAATTTTAGCGCTCGTTTTGAATTACACACTGTGCCGATGTTTAGCTTGTTGAACTCAGTGGGAATTAATGTTATTATTTCACGGCTTTTTATCGGCATCGTTAAACAGAGGTGGCCTATTTCGCCAACTTCGTGTGTTTTTTGCAGTTGATCTCTATTCGAGAAATCTCGGAACATTGTACAAATGATAAATCAGGCTGCTGTGAAAGCACTCTAACAAGACGAATCCCAAGCTGGTCTGAATTCTCTGAAGTGACTGAATCTGCTGTTGTGCTATAGCAACAAGTAACAAGTGTTATAATATAGTAGACTGAATGGAGAAGAATGCTCTCGTGGAAGATAGGTAGGTAACTGAAAAGATTCTGCTGTGGGGCTATGGAAAAGAATCAGCACTGTTCATAGGAACGGAGAGATGCCTACTAAGTCATCCTGAGAACTTGATAGATAAACTTATCTCTAACCTAACCTATGTAAGCAACTAAAAAATCCCAATTTTCGAATCTATTACTATAGCAGGAGGAGTTGGAGACTGGCTGGCCATGAAAGTATCTATCATTCATACATCTGACTGGATAATCAATGTGAATAATATTGAGTTTGCTACTTCGTCAGGTGAAGTAAGATCGAGAGTACAAAAGGAGATGGAAAGAAAACAATTGTATTCATTTCATATTCCTTTCTCGGAGGAATTTGCCAGCAGGCATTGCGACATTCAAATTGAAATTTTCTAACAAGCGCTTTAAAACGACTCCCATTCAATAACTTCTAAGCGAACAATTTCATTTGACGCATAAGGCATACGGACATCTTTAATATTGAAGTAGAGGCACAAAACCGTCTAGTTAACCCAACTTTACTGCGCTGCCACCGCCGTAAAGAACATTAGAATAGAACGCACTGAATATTCAAGTCCATTATTGAAGTCCTTTCGGATTAACATACATAATTGTCGGCGAGAGTGAGATGCGATGTCGTCCTATTCGGTGGCGAATTAACATATCGAAGTCATAATGTTCATTTGCGATACGTGTGGTGCTTATCCGATGCATCGACATGAAGTGCCAAGTGCTCTGAGAGAGCGGTTTCCAGTGGTGTCGTGAACGATGTACCTGAACGGCCTAGGTGCCCTTCCTTGTGGTACACCCGCAAGCCAAGTAACGTAATATATCGAAGTCACAGTTATCAGATGACACTGTTGAACGACTCACCGATGAGTGACGGGTCAAAAACTGAAGGAACTGGAGCATGTATATACTCCTTCTGGAGAATGAACTAGGGTATTTAGTATGCCAGAGGGATCAGCGGATCAGAATTTTCACTGACAGCCAAGCTGGGGAGTGTACAGGTAACATCTACTGCCTGGGATTGCAGCAAAGAATAGAAACAACTGACAATCCGCAACAAGCTGAGACCGGAATTACTTCAAACGAAAAGGCTGACGACCTTGCGAAAAAGGGTCTTTGATATTATAGTGAATTTTAGACCAACAAACAGTACTACTGCACTGAAAAATGATTTCTAGACATCACCTACACCTCATTGAATGGGACTGCAGATACCTGTGCAGAGAGTGCAACAAGGAAGCAGAGACAGTACTCGACATCTCATGCAATTGTAAGACTCTGCACCATAGAGGAGACCTAAATTGTATAGACAACCAAAGATGGATTCACAGACTGCTAGATTGAGTAGAGTAAAAGGATATAACAAAGAGAGAGAAACTCAAAGTCATTACCACAATAGTTTATAAAACGAAAATGGTAGATAGCGAGAGGAAAACAACTACTCCTCTGGCTATATGCCACGATTCATTAGATATAACTTGAACTGGGAACTATTGGCATCTTTTTTCATTCCTCTCTGATGCGCCCCTGTATTTTGATCTCGCTGTATTACCCATACATATACACGTATACGTTCGCAATCCGATTCGAAATGGTCTCTGGTGTCGGTGCGAACGGTCATTCTGCAGAAAATCCTTCGGATAAGGTTCTCTACAACTTCAGATAAGTCACAGAATTAGTACTAATGTAGTCGAGAGAGAGTATAAGTAACACAAGAATTTACTCTCGATCAGAGCGCTGGCATTATCATAAATAAGAGATTTCAGGGGAAAGACATCGAGAGTCACCTTCTGTTATGGGTGGAAGGGGAATATTAACTTTTTTCTTCTTAACAGAATTTCGACACTAGAAATCATTGTTACTCCTTCGCTGTAATTGTTCAATATATTAATTGATTCACATTTCGGATCATGTTATTGAAACATCTTGGAAATAGGAGTTTCAATACACACACGACATGAAAAGTAAAGAATTCTCTATATCATCCATAGAACGGCTAGGCTCTGGAATTCATTGCCTGAGGAAGTATTCCCAACAACATATAATCTCCAGAAGTTCAATAAAAATTCCAATACCTACCTCCTATCCCTATCCTCCCTAGGAACGCACGATGTTCTTTGAACATTATAGGGATTCCCTTTCGTGCGCTCCAAGCGATAGAAAAAAATATTCAAATTTTCATTATTAGTGTTTAATCCCTGAAATCATCAGTTTTCTCAAATGATTTACTGTTGTTATTGAGTCCGTTAGTTTTCGAATGCAAGAATCAAATACAGAGATTTTCAGAGGATATGGTATCAATTGCTAATATAATCTATTTATAGGTGCGAAGTTTTTATAGCCATATATGTACAATGAAAATTAATTCCTGTAGTTGAAAACATGATGAATAAGGTATGTTCTAAATCTAGTGGTGGACAAATATTCTCATAGATACCGCCGTTGGTACTAACTTCGTCAGAAACCTGGTATAAATACAAATCGTTTGTCTACTATATGATGATAGATTCAAATAACTTCGTCGAAGTCACGTGTTCAATAGAATTAACATGTTTGGAATTGTTTCAATTATACTCATGTATATTAATCTAGCAAAAAAAACAGTACTTTCGTATAGTTAGTGCTTCACTGCAAGGTATAGAAAAAATGATGCTGTGATCTGTATCTATTAACTTCATCTGTTCGAACATATCATCACTAGGTATTCGATCCAATTTGTAAGCTCTAGAAAGAATTAGCTAGATGCCCACGTGCTTCGAAAGCAGAACACTTACGCAATGTAAAGAATGATCACATACGAATTGTGCCTCGGGCGCCATCAAATTGTTTCCTATGACTCGAAAACATGGCTTTCCTAATATTCTCTCCGGCCAAGTTCAATATACCCATTAGTCGGTGAAGGAAACCCCCTCAATTATTGGTATTTATTGGGTTTACATAATGCGTAATATTAATGTATACCTACAGTGTCGTAGAAATTGGAGTGGATGGTGAATATACTGCTCCAAAATTCAATTGTTAATCGAATTCTACATCGATATCAGCATAATTTGAATCTAGGAAATGACATTAAATGTGTCTTTTCAATGACACTTAACAGGCAGAACAGGTTTACTTTCTCTGCCTAGGCAGAAATTTGTATTCATAATTGACAATGTCTTTGGGTGAACACAAAATGATGGATTATTTGGATTCTGCCTGAAATTGGAACAAATTTGGAGAAGAAATTATATGTTTCACACGGCAGAGAAGCAGATTCAGTGAAATGAATAACTATTGTATATAAGTTATATATAAGATTGGAACCTTTCGCCTGATAATCCACTACGCGTGTTTCGCTAACTGTGTGCATCTTCAAGAGGCGTTTGCAAAATCGGTTTAGTTAGTGGTAAAAAAGTGTAGTGGATTGTATTTCAGGTATTACCGACGATGACTGAACTTCACAATAAATTATCACTATTTTGGAATATATAGTCAAACTCCGCCACTGTATACCAGACTCTCACCAGTAATTTTTGCAAAGTGAAATTCTACGTGATTGATCTTACCTGTAATTTGGAACGAATTATGCGTGTAGGTACGAAACGACCGAATTTTTGGACATGAGCTGCTTTTTTCTGCGCGACTTCTACTCATTCGTGATATTCAAATTAGCGTTTATTGCTGGTTGTCTCTCTGAGATGTCGAACATTTTCGAAATACCCGTCAGAGTCATTTACGCACAGCCAAATTAGTCACGTATACTTACAAAGATTCAAATCAACTGCCACCACCGGACCACGAACAGGGGCGGATCCAGACGATGTTTGAGGGGGGGGCCATAGAAAGTCACGGCTCAATAAGGTTAGCACGGAAGATAAATAATAAGGTTACCTTCTGAGACACATGCTTTTTCATTAAAAAAATTGATTCTAGTAAACATGAAATCTTTAGTTTCCTATCAAGTATCGAAATTACTGGTGTAAAAAAAATAAGTTCAAACTATTGGCTTAATTCCATCAATATATACATATATTGATTTCTGTAATAAATCATATTAGATGAATAAAGTAAATAAAAATATATTTCTCTTGAAAAACTTTGGTACAAAAGTAAATAAAAATATTCCTCTTCAAAAACAAAACAAATGAAACAGGCAAAAATAAAAATATATAAAAAAAATAATCAAATTTTAAAAACTAAATAACAAATTCCAGTCTTCTATTCTTCTGACTAGCATATCTTTGGATGATATCATCAACATTCAGACTGCTGCAGATGCCCCTGTGTATATGCATTAATGCCAATCCATTCAACCTGTCTTGAACCATTCTCGATCTTATCCAGTCCTTCAGCCTTCTGAGTGTTGAAAAACTCCTTTCAGAAGATGCAACACTCACTGGCAGGCAACATAATAGTTCCAGAAGAATGCTTATATAAGGAAACAAATGTTTGTTACATTCCTTCAGAGCCGTTATACCATTGTCTGGTATATTTTGCTCAGCATCCCACATTTTCTTCCATATTAACATTTCTGAAGCTATCTTCTGGAAGGACATTTCATCGTTCTCCTCAAAAATGGTCGGAAACTGTTCAAGTATTTGTCTTATACCTTGATATATTTCCTCATCTGTTTTGTTTTTGGTAACTGATGGTACACATAGGTGAAGGTTGTACAGATTTAATTTATTTTCTGATAATCTATCTTTCAGATCAAGGATGATGCTATCGAGCAGTGGGATGAAAACAGTTATTCTATAGTGGTCATCCACTGAGGAAACTGTAGGATTTGGTCTATGAACCATTCTGCCTGTTATTCTTGGCATCGAAAATTCAACATTGATCTCTTTTAATTTTTGTTTGGCATCATTTGAAATACTTAGATAGTATTTAGAAGCATCATCCCTTTTATCTTGAAGCGTCAGAAGAGTAATACTGACAACATCGTTAGCTTGTTTTTTGTCCAAGTTTTTTGTTTGGAGCAAATTACTGAGTGGCAGTGTTATTGAAAATATATTTGCCAAACAACAGAGTGTAATTACAAATTCGCAATTCCTCAGAGCTGTTGCGAAATTTCTTGCCTTCTTCGCAGATTCACTCTCGTTCCATAAAGATATTTTATCCAATGCCTGGAGAATATTGGGTAATTCATTCTTGAATTGAAGAATGGAGTCGTGACGTTCAACCCACCTTGTTTCGCAAACACTCTTCAGTTCCGTTTTGGTAATATGTTTCAATACAAAATGTCGTTTTGAGGAAGCTGTGAAAAAAGACGATATTTCTTTTACGGTTCCTATCAAATTTCTAACGGAGTGTACAGTAGAAGATTTTGATACAGCCAAATTCAGTGCGTGGTTATAGCAGGAACAGGGTACGGCGTGTGGTATACATTTCCTAATTTCTTCTACCGCACCGCATTTCTTTGAAACCATCACACTGCACCCATCTGTACATATACCAATACATTTTTTCAAATCGAGTCCAAGTTTTGTTAAAACGTTCAATACTGTTCTAGCTAAAACTTTTCCATTCAAAATCGGTTCTAAGGTATCTTCATCTAACGAAAAATTTTCCTCATGGCAGTCAACAAAAGAAATGAAGTCTTCTCTCGCTTCTTTCATGTCGATGTCGACGTATCGAAGAACAATGGACATTTGAGAAATATGAGAAACATCTGTTGTTTCATCAAATATTATACAATAAAATGCTGCAGCATTCACGCGTCTAATCACTGCATCTCTAATTTCCTCTCCAATGCAGCAAATCAAATCATTCTGTGTTGTCTTACTAACATAGGTTGCTCTTGAGGAAGATGTTCTCAAATGTTCCCTCAATGTTTCGTCCCCCGACTCCACCCGAAATTTTAGTAGTTCCCTAAAATTTCCTTCATTAGTCTCTGATACATTCTCATCAACGTTTATGACACCATCATCCCGATGACCTCTGAAGGCAATATTCTGTTTTCCTAAGAAGAGTATCGAATTTATGATAGGTTTCAATCTTTTTCTATTCTCACTCACTTGAGAGGCCCTAGATTTGTGGAGTTGGTTCCTCACATCTGCTTGAGGGTTTTCAAAAGACTTTATAAAATTCTGAGCATCTAAAACTGCCTCTATATGATATTTATTCTTATTATGATTCTCCAGACACCCCTGGCTTCCAAGTAATTTTGCGAATTTTATTATGGGTTCCAAAGTCAACCCTTTCAATTGTTTTGAATCCTTGGGTTTGCTGAAGATGACGCAGTACTTGCAAAATAATCCTCTTTTCAAATGCGAATATGTAACCCATTCATATGTATTCAAGTGCTTGAAACTGAGATACCTCTTGACAATTTTATTATTTTTATTGTGTTCACTAAATGGAAACTGATAATTTCCAGGAGGGTACCAGGATTCCTTTAAAAATTTATATTTTTGAAACTCAGTTATTTCTGAAGATTCTTTAACAACACCAATATCGAAAACCTTCTGGTAATAATCTATGGTTTCAGAATCAGAGACTGACGTAATATTATCAATAGGATAGGCTGAATGAATGACAGTTACTGATGAATTTTCTGACGGAGTTGCTGAAGTCGCTGATGAGGATGGAACATTATCAGTAGGAATCGCTAAATTATTAGAATTATTGAAAGTCTCTAAAGCATTTTCAGTTGGAAAATATGAATCTGTCGATGTTGATGGAGTAGAGTCAATATTACAGGCTGAATGAGTGATGGTTACTGAATTTTCATCTGAATCTGCTGGTTCCGGTAGATTTCCCATATTTCCATCCTCTTCATTTTTTTTCAATCGCTTGAAAAAATCCGTCAACTTCGCATTTTTCTCAATATTTCTTTTCATTTTTTCTTATCCTATTATAGCGTATAATTCAAAGGTTCTCATACCTAAAGTGACAATCACAGTACGGAATCGTTGGAGACATCAATGCACTTCAGTGTTGTTACTGTAAATTACTGTTGTGTCGTTTGATAGTTCGAAACGTTCATACACTCTTGTAGCTTGTAGGTATAATACAGCGCGCGGCGAGCAGGCAACGGTCGATCGTTCGATGCGCTTGTTGATGTTGCAATGAAGTCGGTCGGTACTCGGTATCGGGTATTAGCTCATCTCTCAGCCGAGACTGCCGACAGCCAGTGCTTGGTCCGAACACGTCCGATTGACCGTGATTTTCGACCGTGCGTTTCCGACCGTACATTAAGACTCAAAGAGCCAAGGGCAACACCATTATCATTATTATATATTTAGCGTGGGTCGCGATGGATAGAAAGAAGGAAGAAATTTTTCATTTATTCAAAATACCTACATTTTTACATATCCATGAGGTTCCCGAGGGGGGGGCCATGGCCCCATGGCCCCCCCCTTGGATCCGCCCCTGACCACGAAGAGAAAATACACACACTGGCACAATTAGGGGAACGGGCAAAATTTACACTAAGTTTGACATCAATTTTCTTTCGAACCGATCGCTCGATTCAAATTTTTTTCTTCACGAAATGTAGCTTCATTCTTCACGAATACATCTGAGAAATAATTACCTTCAAACGATGAGTCTTTCCATCATATACAAGGGTGTAAGAAAGTACGGATTTTTCGGTATTTTTTTAGACATCCTTTGGACTGAACCACTGATAATTGAAACGATTTCTCAACACCAAATTGGAGCCCAAACTATTCCGAATATTTTCGTTTTTTATTCATCTTGATATCTCAATTATTCAAGAAAATACAGAGTTTCAAAGGAAAGGTGAATATTGTCATCAATTTTACACCTCAAAACTCAAATTGGATCTGAAAATGTGTCGTTTCTTGACTAACCTAACCTAACCATGACTAAACCTCTGCCATAGGAGACAGAAGCAGTAAAATCAAATTGTTCATTTTGTTCACCTCGGCGATATAGTCTTTCCCTGCCATCTATTGAATTGGTGCAGATGCGGCTCTCATATGTTAAAAGAACATTGGCCCACTGGTCATTTTCAATTAATGCTACAGCCTTCGCCACATCAGTAGGAGTAGAATCTCTCATGTTGAATTTTCATTGATCAAATTTATGAATTGTGAATCGCTCGACTTTGATAATAATTAATGACATTAACAAAATAGCCAACGTTGATTAACAAAAATAGCATTTCACCAAAATAACATTGGAGCAACTTTTATCACCCCTGCATATTCATGAGAGTATTCGTATATGTGTCTTTAAACAGTAAACCGATAGGTAAAATTGAACAATTCTCATCTTGAAGTAAAAATCCTCACAGAAACAAGTTGAAAAACGACACGTTCTCCCCAGTTCGAGTTTCGAGGTGGTAAAATTAATACCAATATCCACCTCTTCTTTGAAACTCTATATTATCTTGGATAATTGGGATATCAAGATGAATTAAAAACCAAAATATTCGGAATAGATTGGGCTCCAATTTGGTGTTGGAAAATCGTTTCAATTATCAGTGGTTCACTCCACAGGATGTCTTAAAGAATACCGAAAAATCCGCACTTTCTTTACACCCCTGTATATGATATAAAGACGAATCGTTTGGAGGTGGTTATTTCTCAGATGTGTTCGTGAAGAATGAAGTTACAATTCGTGAAAAACAAATTTGAATCGAGTGATCAGTTCGAGAGAAAATTGATGTCAAACTTAGTGTAAATTTTACCCGTTCCCCTAATTGTGCCAGTGTGTGTATACAAAAATCGTTATTATTCTTGATTGGAAACAGCGTTGACCAAATCTCAGCTGGACTGTGCTGACCAGAACATCGCAGTACATAAATACAGTCGTCCTAAACAGAGTTAGATTAAACATCAGTCGTTCAAAACAGCTCTGGCCAAAACTAGAACAGTGCAGGACAAGACAATTGTGCTACAACATCCAGTATATAAAACAGGTATGCTCCTCAAATAGTCGTTCAATAAAACATAACTCATGGTATTATAGTTCATTCTTGACTTTTTTATACTCCATAACAAAATATCATGTAAATGTTGGAGACTTGGCAACATTGTGCTGAATGCTGAGAACTGACAAGACCACGACCACAATTCGTGCTCCGTATTGTCACGTTCATAAGTTTTGCTAATGACAACACATGAGGGAACATTTCGAGACAGTAATTATAGTTTTATTGCTAATTAGGAATTGAGAAATTATGAATTATTGAATAACTAGTATAAGTGCTATTGTGTGGCGTCAGTTTTTACTCGGGGTAAATTTCTAGCCGTCTAAGAATTACCGTACCGATGATTTTAGCACCTCAAAATCGACCGAAAAAATCTGAAAATATATGAAATTGAAAGGTATTTGAGTGATGATTCCATTTAAGGATTAAAAAAGAATCAGTCCACTCGCCTAATGTTCCAATTTTTACTGGTTTTCGCTTATCAAGTTCATTTGCAATCATCCTGGCTTTGTTGGTTTTTAAATATTTTTGAGTGTCATAATTTCGTTATATTTATGTGACACGACTCTCGTATAATGAGCAACTATCGTTGCCTATTTATGAAATAGTTTCGATTCTAAATTTGATTTTATGTTCTTTTCACTGATAAAAACGAGTTCTTCAATCAATCGTGGGTGTTATACTTTGTTTTAGAAAGTATTTTCTATGTTACGCCGCCGCCACCATATACGTCTCAAATATAGTTACTGAATCTATATCTAGTTATCTTGTAGGAACGACACGTATAGTTCTCTAATATAACTTGTATTTTCTCCTGGTAATTGCCATTTCATCGCAGAACAAGGAAAATTAATTGGCCATCATATTTAATGATCAATCCGAACCGTATATTTCAACGATAAACGACCAGATGACTTGACTGCTCAAATTAAAATTATTCTTCGTTTAGTGAAAGGGATCGACTTTTACAACGAATCGGTATCATGTCAACTTAATCTATCCAGAAGCAAGCTCTATCAGGAAAATCAATACTCCTTTCTCTTCGTAATTATAGGTGATGAGCTGTAGCTCCCTTTTGAAGCATTTTTTTACCCAAATTTATATGAACTGATGATTTGAATATTGGCAACGTTATACAAAAGATTGGGGTGTTACAATGTTTTCAAATCGATTTTACTCGATAATGATACATCTCATCCATACGGAACAAGAGCAACTTTTTTCTGTGAATTTGAATAACTAGGTGATTGATCTCAATAATACTCATTTTATCCCAGCATCAGTTTATGGATTCTCGTTCTCTAACATTCAGAACATTCTTCTATGAGAAAAAAAAATGCGATCAGAATAAAACGGAGTTGAATCGGACGAAATATTGTTTGCTTTTATAAATTCCAGTGCTAATTCTCTTTCAACTCTTGAGGAATTCTCGATTTTTTTCTGTGAATTTATTCAACTTTTTTCTCATCAATGTTCCTGTGTTACATTTTTTCTGATGATTTTCTGCCTATCATTATCTTGATATATTATGAGTAATTAAAATAGTAAAAAATGCTTATCTCCTTCCAATGTTTCGCCAATTTCCATTCTTCACTGCAAAACAAAACAACACACACGAACGTGATATTATCACTAGACCTCAAATCCTTCGCCTCTGAATTCATATTAATTTTATTAAATATCAAATGAGAAAGCAATTTGACTTTATGATTTTCCATGATATTTAATCGATCTCCCATATTGAACCATAAACAAACTAAAAAAAAATTATCTGAATTCAATCATGCAGGTATCGGATCTTCCCAAGCTGTTAACTGGCAATATCTCAGTAGCTTATGACTACGAAAACAATAACCACGACGTTCCAAATATTTTACTTGTGGAAACTCACCCAAATTTTTTCACCACCACTGAGATTTCGATATTTTATAGATACCTCTTCAGTATAATATCAATATACATATTCAATAAGTACTATATGATAATGATTTCTGGTTTGGAAATCGTTCCTATTGACATGTTGAATCTGTACGATGTGAGCATATCATTCCTTGTTGCTTCGACACACATTCAGAAATAAACAATATACGAAAAAATCAAGTGCCCATACATATTCAATAGAAACTGCCCATAACTCATAGAAGATTGACGTTCATTCACCGCTTTATGATAATTTCTCTGGGCGAATTCAATGAACAATCACATTACTGGCGATAATAAAACAATCATCAATGCATGAAATTAAACACCTGGTTGGATATGCATCGTTCATCTCAGCAAAGAGTCTCAAGCTTATTAGATATCAGATGGATGTGTCAATGGTTTTAAATACGATTTTCCAACACTAGGTCTAGAACCACCATTACTTACTCCTTTTCAAGTCGTAAAACTTGTACCTATTTCACTATCAAGGTAGTTTCCCCATATTATTGACTGGTAGTAGATAAAGACAAAGCCACCTGCCATTATTGATCTGAATTCACAGTAGCAATTCGAAATTTCCATAGGGAATCATCGATGAAACAATAATTATTGGCTTTGGCTGTGAATTCAACGACTGACAAGACAACTATAGGAAAACACTCAAAATCTAAAAACTATATTATATGTGAAAACATACCTAACCTAAAAGATATACCCAACGTTGAGACTCTTGAGAGACCAAGAGAAAAGACACATTTACCATTCAATCTATAAAAGATAAATGAATAATGTTACATTGGAAATTCCAAAATTTCAGTTTTCAACTTTTATTCAAGTTTGAAGAGTAGGTAATAATTGATTCGTTATGTCATTTGGATGGTGCGTGAAATCACTGTGTATTTCGACATGATTTCTATCGTTCGCCTTTGAAATAATTGAGTTTTTCATATGTGTGTCTTGTGTTGTGTCGATTGTGTCTCTTGGGGGTATTTCTGTTGGATTGTTTTCTGTGGGTTCAAGAGACGCCGAAGGGCAAACAGACATACTATAGAGAAGTAGATGCTTCAGTGTTTTACAACATCTCGGCTATATCCTTTTTTTTCATCTGCTATGGATTCGGCAATATACCCTTCAGTACCAGTAGACGATTTGCAGCCACCATGTTGTTTCAGAGAAAAAATGTCGCCGCCGTTTTCCCCTTAAATTATGGCTGAAGATCATCTCAAAGTATGGCCTTTGTATTTCTCTATATTGTGTGATTTCAAATATTTCGACACTACTAATAGTGTTATGGCCCATAATTTGTCTCGTGGGTTCCAGTCCCATGAAACCAACGTATACTACCTATCTGGAGTAGGTCTTGGAGATACATATTTTTTTCAATATTTCAACCCAAAGTGGCTCAATTATCAGTTTTCTGGATGACCCATTTTTGCTTTTTGTTATGTTCATAATTACTTTGTCATCTCCGACATCAACATCTCGTCTAGTAAAATTTGAAAGTTTTACGAGAACAGCCTGAAAGTATAT